TGTGTGTGTGTATGTATATATATATATATATATATATATATATGTATATACATACATATATACATATATATTTTAAGAAATGAATACTTTTATTCAGCTAGGGTGCATTAAAATGAATCAAAAGTGACAGTAAAGACATTTCATACTACAAAAGCATTTAAAATAAATTAAATATTTTTTAGTTTTTTAGCTTTGTCTTCATCAAAGAATCCTGAACACAATGTCACAGTTTCCACAGAAAAATTAAGATTAAGAATACCATAAGAATAAAATATTAAACAGCACTTAAGCAGCAGTAAGCAGCTGTTTTTAACATAAACAATAGTAAGAAATGTTTTTGAGCACCAATGATTTAAATATTTATATTTTATATTTTTTTTAATCAGTTATTTTAAGTTGTATTTATATTTCTCAATATTGCTGTTTTGTTTTTGCTGTATTTTTAATCAATTTAATTAGGGCTGGGCGATATGGGCAAAAATTCATATTTCAGTGTTTTTTGGCCGATTTGCGATATACGGTGTATATATCTCGGTATTTTCATTTTTGTATTTGGATTAAAAAAACTCTGTATTTAATATACAGTGGGTACGGAAAGTATTCAGACCCCCTTAAATTTTTCACTCTTTGTTATATTGCAGCCATTTGCTAAAATCATCTACATTGTAATATTGCAATCTAAAAAAAAATAAGGCTTTTAAAGTGGAAGTTAAATTCACTAAACTAAAAATGAAAATAAATGAGAACGAAAGCTAGTAAAATGTGTTATTACAGTCACTTTACAGTCAGTGCTATTATAAAAATAGACTTACTTGTAGGTTTAAAATTCTACATGTCACATTTAGCCTTTATATTATGAATGTAATGTAAGAATGTAAGCCTTTATATTATGTGCAAAAAAGGGTTAAAATCACATTTCATTCCTACATTGTAATATTGCAATCTAAAAAAAAATAAGGCTTTTAAAGTGGAAGTTAAATTCACTAAACTAAAAATGAAAATAAAT